AACAGAATTAATGCAAATTTGAATCCCAAATGTCGATGATTTGGCCGGGGCTGAAATAAGCCGCAGGCCGAAGGGTGAAGGTCGAAGGGTGAAGGTCGAAGGTCGCATTTAGCGGATGGATGCTTTACTCTAGGTTGGAATAAAATGATTGCTTGGAAAATTAATTCGAAATTAACTAAAAAGGTGAGGAGAACATTCATCAGGACGAGAGAAGATAACGCCACTAGGAGGGAAGGGGTTACTGAGAGTGAAAGGGAATGAGAAGACTTTAGTGAATAAACAGACTGTTTGTAATGAGTAGAAAATTAAATTAACAGTGGCTAGGATTGATTATCAAAATTCCAGACGTGAAAGACCCAAATATAAACAAGACAAATAGTTGTAGACTCAATTACAAAAACGACCGATATTTACTCTTTGACTAAAGTATAAATATAGACATTAAATAACCCAAAGGTTAATATGTAAAATCCATCAACCGTACACAAGGTTTTTGTCTTTTGTCAATTTTGTCGTTTATTCTGTCTTGTCAAAATACTTGTCAATTATTTGTGACCATCTCTTTTTTCCGTGATTTCAGGTGTCGGTACTCCAACGAATTTCACTTTCCAGGCAACAAGCGGCAAATCCGAATTATTTGTCGGCAAATTCGGGATCACATCGTTTCCCTTGCCAAGTGGCGACTACGCTTTTATTCAATCGATTCAAGCAGCCATCACTGTAAGCAGTTCGCAGCCCTCCCAAGACAATCCAAATATAACAATTGTTTCAATGTTGCCTCCTTTAAATCAGTATCTAAATTTAGCTAACATAAATTTGCCAGCAAAGGAACCCAACGATAGCTATACATTAGTCACAAACTTTTTGGAAAGTTGTAATCAGTTGTCCATCATTGCTAATCTCTCCGGATTAACAAATCAGCAGGTCTTTACAAATATTTCTGGTCGAACTTTTTCTCTTTCCAGGACATTTAATGATAGTGCACTGAAAAATATTGTGAATGCGACTATAAAATCAGGGCGTGGTCTTTCGTCCTGTGGGTGGATTTTTAGATTTTCCCGAGGCTTTTTACGATCTTATCCTTTTCCGCTTTATTCGTTTCCGGTTGTCACTTGCTCAGATGAGATTCCAACTTCGACTTCCGGTTCGAATCAGCCAGCCGTAACGTCTTCGCCATGGCTACCGAAATATTTACGCGGGAATAATGTCGACGAAGACTGCGACGGCAAGACTGACGAAGAACTTTTGAACGCAAAAGATGACGACGGCGATGGACTTGTTGACGAAGACATTGCCTTCGGCTGTTTGGATTCCTGTAAAGATGGCGACTCTGCCAACAATAACGCCCAGGTAGAAATTGTAGGCATTTCGCCCAAATTGCATTATCGTCCGCATAATTCCTACTACCACGGGTCGATTTTAGCTTTGGTCGTTTCTCTTGCCGTGGCCCTATGGGCTGCTGCCATGTTATTAGGAGGGTCTCTACTCTGGGAGTATCACCGGAGGGTAAGGGCCCGCAGGTCAACAAGCGTCTCGCCCATATTTGAATATTAAAAGTTACATAAAAAACAGTGTATTATGTATTACTGATATCACAATATCGATTTTGTTAGACTTTTTATGAATTACAATCTACACACTTATTATGTTATAATATTAAATAAATCATACGCAGTTTTGACGGTTTATCAACCCTTTGCAAGTATTTTGACGCCAGAAAATATTTTTATATTTTAAGAATTTTTTAGATTTATTGATAAAGTCCTACTAATTAACCAATAGATGGGGAGATGAGGTGGATTCATACTTTTCCTAGGGTTATTTGCACGGAAGTAAATATAACGAACCCGACTGGAATTGGAACTCGGCTCTCTGATTTCCATTTCGTTATCCATTACACCACCCGCGCACCCAAGCTTATAAAACCAGGTATTCCCAAGCGGTCACTCACCCGGGTACTTATTGGGCTTGACGTTGCTTAACTTCGGTGATTGTACGAGAACCGCAGTTTGAACGTTATAATTGCTGCTGTATAAAGCCCACTTTGTTTCCGAAAATGAATTAAAATATCTCACATATTTTATGTTTGAGGATGAAATATTTGTTACATTAATGTTTAATTGAAAATCATAGACCATCACTGTTTGTGCCAAGTGTAACTTGATATCAACATCAGTTCCATGATCGAATTTGGTCGTAGGGTTATTGCGCAGCTAGTCATGTGACCAACTCCGTCTATAAGTCTTTGTTGCGGCTTAAAGTGTGAGTCACTGTGAATGATCCTCCAGTGACGTTGTCAGCACATTTTTCCTCTATTTCATCTTTTGCCTAAGGCGATGCCTTGTAGGATGGTAACGAAACGGATTCTGGCTTATTTTGCTTAAAGTGGTACCTTGTAGGATGCTAATGGAACGGTTTCTGACTCTTATTAAATGGCCATATCATTCCAACATCCTCATGTTGAGAGTCGTTTTAAAGTCTTCCAGTGGGCTTGTTTCATATTTGGGGCAGCCTCGTACTGTATCATTTGTGATGTGGTTTACAGAGGCGATAGCAATGATGATGATGTTGCCTCGCATTTCTAATGTTTGGATTCTTTGCCGTAATTCTTCCGTTAATCTCAAAGACACGCCGGCATAGAGAAAGACTGAAAAGGCCAATGCACTCACCTGTCTGTTCTTTGATTTTTCCAGTTCTCCTCGGAGAATCACCGCACCTTGCTAGATTTTGGTCCTTAGAATCACACCTGACTTCAAGTGAAACTCGTTCATACGAGATATGGCTAAAGATGCAGGTAAAATGATCGGCTCCTTGCATCGCTGCAGTAAGTACCTGACTCCTCATGCTGTCCTCTGCATTTATAAGAGCTAGATCCGACCTAAAATAGGGTACTGTTGTCATATTTGGGCGGTAGCTGCCAGGCCTCAACTTCCAGTCTTGATAGAGTTCAAAAGTGTCTTCGAGCCCTTGTGGAAGAAGAATTATTTTCCATCTTCCAACCTCTCTCACAGGCGGGCCGTGGTGAGTCACTCACTGCTCTATTGCTACTACCATGGAGAGTGCTCGAACGAACTGAATCAACTCGTTTCACCAGGTCTGACCTTTACGACTAGGAACCCACATGCCACTTACATTGTAGCAATCTACACACATTCCCTTCGTGATCCATAGCCGAGAAGTAAGTTCCACTCAAACAGCTTCTTTCAGCGAATCAAACTCCCAAGTGGGTATTTCCCCGATCACTACAATCTTAACCTGTTGTAACCTAGAATCAACCGTTTTCTTACCCTCCTATCCATATAAATTACTCCTTAATGTAACCCTCTACCTCTAGTGGCCCTCGGACCTTCTACAGGTTGAAAGCGAGGAGTGAGATAAATAGATAAATGAAAAGACTATTCTGGTTTTTCTTTATTTTTCTTCCGGTTTTGTCTCGTTCAATGTTTTGCTTACTCAGAATGAAATATTCTAAAATAAGGCGAATCAATTTGTTTCTCGAATATACATCGTCGGTTATTGTTCAACACACACATTGCATAATCGCCCCGTCCTGGGTAAGACGCTAAACGACATCCGCGTCCTGGGTAAGACGATAAACTACATCCGCGTCCTGGGTAAGACGATAGACTACATCCGCGTCCTGGGTATGACGATAGACTAGATCCGCGTCCTGGGTATGACGATAAACTACATCCGCGTCCTGGGTATGACGATAAACTACATCCGCATCCTGGGTAAGACGATAAACTACGTCCAACAGCAAGAACTTTCGGTCTGAAGAGATGAATATAAAGATATTCACGATATAAATTATAGTCGATATGGATCTTTAAGGGTTTTTTTATGATTTATTATTATTATTATTATTATTATTATTATTATTATAATGCTCTGTAATTTAAATACAAAATTTTAAAAAAAGAATTATTCTGGTTTCTCTTTATTTTCCTTCCGTTTGTGTCTCGTTCAATGTTTTGCTTACTCAGAGTGAAATGTTCTAAAATAAGGCGAATCAATTTGTTTCTCGAATATACATCGTTGGTTATTGTCTAACACACATGTACTCATATATATACGTTACATCATCGCCAATCAGACACCGAACTGCCCCTACTTGCAAGGAAAGGATTTCCCCTCGGAGAACCTCCATGCCTTGTGAGATTATTGGGCCTTAAATTCACACCAGACTTCAAGTGAAACTCGTACATACGAGATATGGCTAAAGATGCAGGTAAAATGTTCAGCTTTCTGTACCGGACTCCACTTGCTATTCTCTATCTTTAAAAGAGTCAGATCAGGCCCAAAATAGAATACTGTTGTCATATTTGACGGAAACTGCCCAGACTGAACTTTACTTTAGAGTCAAAAAGCATCTCTGAGTATTTATGGGTGACGAATTATTTTCCATCCTCCAACCTCACTATCACAGGCGGGGGTGTGGCACAGAAAGGACCCGCCATACCCCTTACATGGTAGTAAACCACCTACATTCCCTCCGCATTCCATTGCCAAAGGGTTTGTTCCACGCGAACAGCATCTTCCCGCGATCTGTGGAACCGACTACCAATAAAAAAAATTCGCCTGATCACTACAATCGTAACCTGTTCAACCGTTATTTTCTCCTATCCGTAGAAACTGCCTCCTAACGTAACGCTCTACCTCGAGTGACCCCGGGTCTTGTACAGGGTGAACCTTACTGTAAAAAAGTTCTTAGTTTTGTGTGAGCTGTCACTGTTTTTTATTTAAGTGGCTCATCGACTTTATGTTGTAAATCTTTCTCATTGTTCCTGATGAGTGTTTTCTCGGCATTAATCTCCATGCCATGCCGTCCTGGGTATGACTATAAACTACATCCGAGTCCTGGGTAAGACGATAAACTACATTTGCGTCCTGGGGGAGACGATAAACTAAATCCATGTCCAAGGTATGAAGATAAACTACATTCGCGTCCTGGGTGAGACGATAAACTAAATCCGTGTCCGTGGTAAGACGATAAACTACACCTGCGTCACGATTAAGACGATAAACTACATCCGCGTCCTCGGTAAGACGATAAACTACACCCACGTCCTGGATAAGACGATACACTAAATCCGTGGCCGAGGTATGACGATAAACTACATCCGCGTCCTGGGTAAGACGATAAACTAAACTAAATCCGTGTCCAGGGTAAGACGAAAAACTAAATCTGTGTTCGAGGTATGACGATTAACTACATCCGCCTCATGGGTAAGACGATAAACTAAATCCGTGTCCGAGTTATGACGATAAACTACATCCGCGTCCTGGGTAAGACGATAGACTAAATCCATTTCCAAGGTAAGACGATAAACTACATCCGCGTCACGGTTAAAACGATAAACTGGGGTCAAAACACTATGAAAGTGCAAAAATAGGTTTTCATACCAGAAATAATTTAAAAAAAAATTATTACCAGTAATACATTAAAAAATATTACGAGCTAAATATTTTTGAAGAAAAAAATATTACCAGCTATACATTTTTTGAAGAAAAAAATTTAACCAGAAATAGATTTTTGAAAAATAAAATATTACCTGCAATAAAAGTTGTCGGCATTAATTAACTCATTCAGGATGACATACCATAAAACAAACGAAACCAAATCAAAGCATGCCATGTCTAGATGATGTTTCTTCATCAGACTGCCAAGATCTTCTTAGCCACTTAGACAATCTATGTCGTTCACAAAGCGAAGTTTTAGGATTCTACTATAGTTAGAAACAATTTGTTTTTTCCTTTTCCCACACGCTTCTTGCTTTCTTTTGTTCTTTTTCTTTTATTATGCTTCGTTCTTTCGTCAAGGTGCTTGATACTTGATCAAACCCTCGCACCAACTGATTTCTCATTGACTCATATAGCCACGTATCTTCCCACAATTCCCTATTTTTTTTCACCATTCATTATAATTATGTGTAAGGTAAGTAGCATCCATTACGACACAATTCTTTTACAGTTACGACTTCCGATTTAGACAGCACACTAGTGTCCCCCAAGGAACTCAATAATACCATAATATTAAATGTAAATAGGCGGGGTCATGCGTTCCAATCACCCCCTTCATATTGGTATTGGTAAAAGTAATGATCTATTTCAATGTTATTGATCGGAGATACTTTTTTTAATACAATGACTTTTCAGAAAGTAAGAGTTTATAGCTATCTCCAGATCCATTATTTTCTTAACATTAAATTGCCATGACAAAAATAGTGAAGTAGTTTCCCATTACCTTTTCAAAGGTTTTCAATTCAAAATAGTCCTTCTCTTAGACAGGCTGCCACTTAAGGTTAGGGAGCCCAAGTCTCTCTGTTATTTAACCCAAACACGGTGGATAGGAGAAGAGAGGGATGTGTTTCTCGAGCATCAGTGCGAAGGTGAACGAAGAAACTTCCTTCGGTGAGCCTAGGGTTAATAATAAAGGAGGGAGTCTTTCGAGATATGCACTAAGCGGAGCTTAGTCTGGCACAAGGCTGCATTCGTGGAACACCGAGTAAAGCTCGAATACACTACAAGAACAATAACGTGCATGATTAGTTGGCTTATAATTTCAATATAGTAGTCCTATTCTATATTTGACTTAGAGTGGTGGCAAAATAACTCAAAAATGGGTCACTAGGTGTGATCCATTTTCCGAATTTAATTATTTGTATGAATTTTCACATTTAATTTAAAAACGAAAAAAAATAGAACAAAAGAAAACTGATAAAAAATTAAATGAAAAAAAAAAAAAAAAAGATTAAATAAAGGAATAAAGAAAGAATAAAATATATATATATATATATATATATATATATATATATATGATAAAATGTAGTTTTAAGTTATGCTATATTCATGGCTTAAAATGCTCAATATAAGGGATAGCGTATATGTAAATATAAAAGTGGAAATTTATGGTCGAAAACACGAATTCTATATAAATCAGATTACCGGAAACATCTAGTTGTGAGAGAGGCACTGTATATAAAACATCATGCTCCCACTATCAACCTCAGCTTATTT